TACACGACGGAGTAAGAACTGAGCTCAATACATTCTTACTGAACACATAAATACCATAGGCTGTAAAGCACATACTTCCCAGTCCCCTCACGGGATCCAAGGAGTGCAAGGGTACAGACACTGCCCAAGCTCACGGTCAGGCAGCAGAACCAAGACCCAGCACTCCTAACTCTCCTACCACGGCAGCACCCTTAAATCCCCAGTTTCTCCAAACCAAGTAACAGCTAGAGCCGTTCCGGATCTATTTCCATTTCAGCTCCAGGTTTCCTCTTTGAGGCCAAAACACCACAGTAATTTTGGAAAGCTAAACCTACCTACCCAGAGCATTTGTCTTTAACAAGACAGCTGACCACACAGTAGTTCCTGACTCAGAAAATTCTGGAAGAGTACTCCAGGTGGGGGCCAGCAGGTGGCATGGTGATCGGGCTGCTGGGCAACTGCGCCCAGATGGGCGACTGCGGCTGGAGTCCTGGACCTAGTAGCTCGCTTTCTCACTTCCCCTTTCTTTCTGTTTCTCTCCGGTCACATTAAAAATAGTAACAAAATTAAATAATTCTTGAAAAAAAAAAGAATACTACAGGCTTTTTTTTTTCCTTTGGAGAGATTTTCGCTATAAGGTACGTGCGCTCGCCAGACAGAGAGAGACATAGAGACAGAAAGCGAGGAATCACGCCCCGGGGGGATGGTCACTCCGCAATCCCTTCTCCTCCATTCTACTCTCCTCTATGGATCTCGGGCACGCACGCACACACGCCTGGCGTGAGTTTTAAGCCACCGGGTCGGGACGTGAACCGCGGTCGACTACGTGGGAGTCCAGCGACATAGCCATTACGCTAACTGCTGGTTCCCAATACTACAGGCTTTTGACGGTGATATTTTACTTAAGGTGGTTGGTTTTTCTTTTCTTTTTTTTTTTTTTTTCATATAAGGTTTTTGCCATAGGGGCTCGCTGGAGAAACAGGGAGACAGTGAGAGGGAAAGTGAGAAATCCACCCGTCCCCCTCCAAGGCCACCCTGCAATCCCTTCTCCTCCATCTCCTCTCCGGATTTTGGGCTTGCAGGCACACCGACACAACCTGATTTCCAAGCCTTCTGATTGGCCATGCGGGGAGTCCCGCGCCCCGACCACGGCCACCTGCAGGCTCCCTTAAGGCCTGTGTTTTGCTGCCTAAGGCGGAATGCCGCTGTTGCTCTTTTCTAATAAAGACACAGATTTGGTGTAACCTTCAAGCGCAGACTAGCTCCCCGGTCCCAAGTTGGCCAGACTGGGCTAGGCAGGACATGCATGGTTTTCCTAGTTCTCGCCTTCCTTTCCCAAACCTCAGGAGCCGCTCGCCCACGAACACTGCGTCCTTCCAGTTTAAACTGGTGAACACAGAACAGGAAGGAAAACGACTCACTTTCTAATTAGAAAACTCCAGGGCCTCCCCAAAGGCGGCAGCCTTCTGTCTGTAGGCATCTTGGGCTTTGCACTCTCCCTCCCGGTCCTGCCATCATGCCCCAAACGCGGGCGTGTGTGACCGCGGGAGCCGATCCCGGTGTAGACTGGAACCGTCGCTGCTCACGGCGACCACCTTTTACTTTCTGCGCTCTGGCGGGCTCCTCTTTACAAAGAACTGCCGCCCATAGGGTCGCTGGAACCTCCCATTTCATAGGGGGACAGCCAGAGTCTCGGATGTGTGCCGGGCGAGGCGCCCTGAGGCGCGCGGGCTGGGAGGGTGGGAGGAGAGGGCGCGTATAGAGGACCTCGGTTTCCCAAAAGCCAAGAGAACAACTAGGATAGCGCGGGTCCTTCCGCCCCGCGTGTCCTCCGCTGCGCCCGCGCCGCCTCCTCCCGGACGTTCCCCGGACCTGCATCCCGCAGACCTACTTCCCCGAGCCGCTCACACCCATCACCAGCAGCGCGTTGGGCGCCGCCATGGTCCGGAGTCTGCTCCCTCCCGTTGTCTTCCGGGCGCCAGCTCCGGCCCTCCCGGCGCCAACAGGGCGGATCGGACGGGGTCGGCCCACACCTCTCGGTGCTCCGGACCGCGCGTTCCGCAACCTCCCCGGGCTCCTCCCGCCCCTCCCCAACGCGCTCCCGGAAGTGGAGCGCGCGCCCGCCCTGCGCGAGCCCGCGGGCGGGCCGAGCTCCTGCACCTGCAGACTTATGTGCCCGCAGTCCTTGGCCCACGGCGCCCCTCGGCTGCGAGGGAACCTCATCTTCGACCTGGCAGGGCCCAGCTGCTCGCTCTCAACCAGTAGAAATACCCATGCTTTTTTCAATCATAACAACGTTCAGGGAAACAAAGTAATTCGCAATTTCCCAAACCAGACGGCCTGAGCAGCTCTTCCCGAGCTCTTCCCAGCTCTTCCCCTCTCCGGTGAAGACAGATGGGTATGAATATATATATATATATATGAGGTTTTTGCTATAGGGAGCCTGCGATGGCCAGAAAGACAGAGAGAGACAGACGGAAAATGGCCATACCGCAATCCATTCTCCTCCATTTAAGCCACTGGGTCCGGGACTTGAACCGCGGGCGACTACATGGGAGTCCAGCCACATAGCTATTACTCCAACTGCTGGTCCCAATATTTTATGTAATTGAGAGCATGCTGTATTCAGTGTTTTGTAACTTGACCTTTTTATTTTAGTTTTTATTTTATTTAAAAGGTTTTCATCCTGCTTGCCAGAGTCAGTGAGAGGGGAAGAAAGAAATCAGTTACCCAGCGGGGACAGACAGGTAGCAATCCCTTCTCCTCCATTCTCTTTTCCCGTTTTTGAGCACACACCCACCGTGCGGGTGTAATTTTCCAGCCACCAGGTCTGGACTTTGTAGTCCACGGTGTGGGCGTCCAGCACCACCTCGCCACCTGCTGGCCTGGAATACATGACACTTTTGGGCTCAGATACAGTTGACCATAGTAGCATTTGCAGTGGCTGTTTGGCTCTGCCTTTTGGTAATTCCAGCTCTTGTCAATTAGGGGAAGTACTTGAGAGGAAGGAGGTCCCTGTAAAGTGCCCATTTGCTTTAAAACAACGTGTTAATTATGAGTCATTTAAAATATTTGACGCATAGCACGTCTAATAGCGTTCTGTACCCCCTCCTTAGTTAACCAAGTTCATATGCCCTGTGTCCTAGAAAATAAAGGTGACACAAGGCTTTTATCTAATGAGTATTTTCCTAACCCCTACAATGATTTTTTTCATACTTAGCCAGAGTGGGTGCGATTTCAATCTGGATAGAGAGGTATCGATGAAGTAATCCAAGCCTGGAGAGACAGGTCTTCCTGTTCAGTTATGCTTCCTAAACATTTGAATACCTGCAAGTTGGTATAACCTTAATGCTCACTAAAAAGGTGACTATTACGCTCTAGGCATTCCAGGCAGGTAAACTGGGTAAGCAGCTGCTGTAACTTATGCTCGCTTTCATGGCTCTGAGCAACGTTCCTCTCCCTGGATCTCCACTGCAACATGTGACCAAGGACCTCGATTTGCTGTAGCAGTCAGTGTGGTGGCAGGGAACAGCACACTCAAGCTGGGTGATTTGAAGAAGGATTAACAAAGGACTCTTCACAGAGAGGTGAACAGGGTCAAGTGAAGCAGCAAGGGGCAGTGTCTTGTGTTAGTAGCCAAGGGGAGGTATTCTCATTCTCCGGTATGAAAGGGTGACAGGAAGGAGCCTTTGGTGGGCTGAAGGGAGAGCTCCGGATGCACTATCTGGAGAAAGGCGTCTGACAGGGCTGTAGCCTTTGGAAGGGAGATACACACCCCTTGTTGATCCAGTGGCAAGGGGATCAGGAAAATAAGTGACCTCCTCTCTCCTGCTCTTGCCCCGGGATCTGCTAGCGGTCAAACCCAATTGGAAGGCTGAGAGCTAGGGCATGTGCTCATGTGGCCCTTGCACGTAATGTCTGGGCATAGAGCAGGAGACAGGAGGGCAGAGTCTGTCTCGAAAGACAAATGATATCCAGCACTTGTGCTCACCAGAGCCAGTGAATTCTGTGCTCGCTTCCGAGACAGCAGAACTCAAGAGCGATTTCCACACACTAAGAGTTAAGAAGAGCTGCAGTCCGCACGTCGTGGTTTTCAGAGAGTGCCACCTGCTGGTTGTCTCAGGGCCTCCTCGATGGTACTAATGGGCAGCCCTGAGCCTGGCCACCAGTCTCCTAGAAGGTTCCATCTGTCTGCTGCAAGAACTGCTATACTGAGGCACAGGGTGCTTTGAGAGCCCGCGAGACCCTGGCGAGGCACAGCTTCCTACATGCGTTACCACAGTGACCCCATAATTCAGGACAGCCTGCACTGTACCTCTCACCCAGGAATGACTGTCGGCGAGGTTGCTGCTTGAAGCTGCACTGTCCACAGGGCTTAAACAGAGCCTGGGCGGAGGTCGTGGTCATTAGGTCAGCTGGATCCCACATGGTCGATTGCCATGTTTGAGTTCAGGACCCTGTGGCTTGAAAAGCACACCAGGCACACATGCCCAAAACCCTGAGAAAAGAATGGAGGGGAAGAGATTGCAGTGTGGCCATTCCTCCCGGAGGGGCGATTTTAAAAAAAATTTCCCTGACTCTCTTTGGCCAGCACATGTGCTCTATAGCAAACTAAAAAATAAATACAATAAAATAAAACGAGTCATATTGGAAGAAGCACAAAACATCCTCTAATGACCTGGTAATACACTTTTTCTTAACCTACAATAATTTCGGCCACACAGGTGTACATTCGATCCTTTCCTTTAAATGGTATTATCTACATATTTTATATAGCTGTATGTATGATATCCACACGCACGTACAATTGTGATCATTCTTCCCTAATTTATACGTCCTGGCAGCAATGAGAGGCTCAGGAAAGTCCCTCCTGCTGGCAAAGCAGGAGTGAGTACTATCTGATATGAGAGGAATCCATTGACCTCGACCTTCATCTCCTCCAACCTGATTGACTCCTCAACCAGCTGCGTCTGCTGACTTTGCACTTCACAGCAGTGACCTCTGACACTAACACACTGCATTATAATATGCCTGCACCGGTGTTACTCTGAATATTTGCCACCAAATACGAATTGCATCTTAGTGTAAAAAAATAAATTCACTTTAAAACAAAGCAAAAATGCCCTTTCTTTATCTTTGACAGAGGAGGTCTCTATCTCCTCTAACGGGCCAGTTTACTCAGACATTTTAAATGGGGACATTTATTACCTGTTATCTTCTTTTTAAAATACACTCTGGATACATTTTCTCTTATCTTTTGATGAATAGTCGTAACAGTTTTTATAAGTACAGTTTCCCCAGATAACTAAGCTTCTCCAAATTCTCTTTGAGTGGGAGACACAATTATGTTGCATTACCCTGATAATAATAAGTTTTCTGTATTCTTTTTTTTTTTATACTTTGTTTTTTATTATAAATTTTTTTTCTCATCACAACACACATATGAATTTTCCATCCAAAATACACTGTGCATTGGCTCAATCAAGCACATCAACATACATGTTCTCGGCAGATGATTTCCCAATTCCCGTGTCTTGCATACCTTGCCTTTTGTTTTGCCATCCTAGATTCCCCATCCCCACCCTCTGCCATGTCCCATCTTCCTCCTCCATTGTCCCTAACATTCATGATTGCCCTCAATCCCTTCCGCCCCCCCCATTCAATTGTTCTGCCAATGAACACAATTGGTCTAAGTATATCCACTAGCTAGCACAGCTGACATATCCTTACACATGTATCCAAATCTGATCCTAGGCATAAACCCCAGGGAGTAGAATGAACATACTATAAAGTAG